CGGTTTCCTGGGCGGAGCGGGGCGTGCGCCGGGCGGGCCGAGGCCTCGCAGCGGGTCTCTGCGTGATCGTGCTGCAGGTTCCTCGTGGTTCCGCAACCCTGGCTAGGCAGTGAGGCAGGCAGCTGGACTCTGGCGGTGCAACTTGTCCACCTATTTTGTGTCACTTTTTTTGTCTTCAAAGCCCTTAGCGTTGCAGGGAGCAGTTCCGGGTTGTTTGTTTGTTTGTTGCTCTCTTAAACACAGCCCTAAATACAGCAACAAATAAATGTGGAGATTATTCCACAGATTATAAGCAATTCTTACTAAAGTTCTTATGAGGAAAATTTCCTAAGAAACTCTTGCTTCTTCACATAATTTCTGTACCATTAGGGCTGCTGCATCACTTTTATGTTACTCGTTAGAGTTGGGATTTCTCAGAGTGCTAACTTTTATTGGGCCAACTATGTAGTTGAGAGAAGGTTGGACAAAACTGTTGAATGCAAGACCTTGTTCCTGAGGTCTGATCACAAGGAGCCTAGCACAGTGTCTGGCTCCTCGTAAGCAGACCTGAAGAAGAACTTGTTTTTGAAAGCTTGTCTAACTCTCTCCCAGCTGTGCAGTTTGTCCAATAAAAGTTACCGCTCTAAGAAAACCTTGCCTCACATAACTTTTGGAGCACCACAATTGCAACATCAGTCTTACACTACTCATTAGAAATGTGATTCAAGGTTTATTATGCATATTAACCTCCCACGTAAGTGGTAGTATAGCAAAGGTCTTTTTGTTGCTGAGATGCTAATCTGTCCATGGCTTAAATCTGCATGATCACTTCAGTAGGCATTAAAAGTGCTCAATATCTTTCAAGAGAAGCTTAGAATTTCTAGTACCTAACTTATGGAAGTTTGCTTCCACAAATCTGTTTTAGGTGGCACAAATATTTTGTTTTCTTTATGAGCCAATAGATTTAACCCCAAGTCTCCTGGCATGCAACATTTTTCAGACAGAAATGTGGTTAAATTGCAGCTACCTCTTTTAAATACAAATTTTTATTCCGTATCAACAGCCATTTTATTTCTCTTGAATACAGTTTTTAGAGGTGCACCAATACATCATTCCAATGTCGGATCGGTACCGATATAAAGAAAATTGGCTGCATTGGAAATCAGCCTGAAGTGGCTGATAATTTGGCTGATAAATGCCTGTGCATGCACGCAGCACACAGGTAGCAAGGATCAGAGCCCAGCAGCATGCAGGTGGTAAGTCTGTTGTGTTGGACCTGGGGTGGGGGAGAGGAGGGCATGGGGGTACAGATCAGCACCTCCTGTGGGGAGGGGGCAGGCACTGCCTAGCTGGGGTGGTGCAGGATGCAGGACGGAGCCATGGCTCATCCAGGGGGAAGGCGACTCCCACTGCTGCACACAGCCTGGGAGGGCATGGGGGGGTGGGGCCTGTGCCCCCCAATCCACGCAGAGCGGTTGGGCTGCAGGCTGGAGCTGGGGCTGTGCCGGGCTCTTCTCAGCGCGAGCTGGGTTTGGGACAGGCAGCGGCAGCAGAGGGGGGCTACAGAAGGGGATGCAGCCACCCCAAATTTTGCTGTAGCCCCGCTCCCAGCACCACCGCCATCCACCCAGAACATGGAGAGAAGCAGGGGTTGAGCTGGGTGGGTGGCAGTGGCACTGGGAGCGGGCCTACAGCAAAATTTGGGGTGGTTGCAGTCCCCTCCAGAGCCCCCCTCCCAGCGCTGCCACCGCCACCCCGAGCCCAGCCTCCACCAAGAAGAGCCCAACGCAGCCCTGGCTCCAGCCTGCCCTGCGTGGATCCAGGGCCCCCCCTGGTGCTGTCCCAGGGTGCGTGCAGTGCCTCCACCCTGACAAGGCACAGCTCTGTCCTGTGCCCCACCCCACTCCGGCTGGGCAGCGCCTACCCCTGCTCCTGCCCCCTCCCTCACTGCAGGGCGTGTTGATCTGCCCTACCCCGCACGCCCCTCCCCTCCCCTTTCACCACAACAGACTTACCAGCTGCACACAGCTGTATTGGAAATCAGATCAGTATTGCCCGATATGCCTCCTTAAATATCGGTAATTGGTATCGGCCCCCAAAATGTCTATCAGTTCACCCCTAACAGTTTTAATAAATACAAATAGCTGTGGGGAAGGTGTGCTATTTTTTTTACCTTAAATTAATTTACTGTCTTTAGGTATTTGCAGCATGTGATGAAGACAGCAAAGGATATTTAAGCAGAGAGGACTTCAAGGTTGCTGTAGTAATGCTGTTTGGTTACAAACCCTCAAAGGTATAACTTATTTTACTGTCAAGCTTGTAAGGTTATATTGCTACTTGGAATACCACATCTAATAGGTTCAGTAAAGATGGGCTTTTACTCTTATTAACAAAACCAGGATTCTATTCATGCTTTGTTAACTGCATAAACTGAAAAGACCAAATCATTATGGTTTTCCCTGGGAAGATTATCACATCCACAATAATTTGGCAAATTTATTTCTTGTTCTGAACAGGTGTGTAAGGTGGGCCCGAGGGGCAGGGAGAATGTAGTGAGCCTTGTTCTCTTTAAAATGTGATATGAGATAAAAATGAATGTTTTAATATATACCTACTCCATTTATTTTTTTAGTGAGGCTTAATCAAATTAAATTGTCATTTCTTATGAACAAAAATAAGTTCTTGCAAACCTAACTTCTTTCTGCTTCAAGCACAAGGTGGATTTCTCAGACATGAATTATTTGCTTATGTTTACATATGCACAGATAACTCTGGTAATTCACCACTACAGTTATATATATAATTAACTGTTAGTCCAATTCTCCTTTGGCCCTTCTTTTGCTACCCCTCCCCAAGTATGAACTCCTGATAATTGATCACTGCTAAACATTTGTCATTATTTGCATTCTCCCTGGAGTAGCAAGTTAACAAGAGTTTACCATATAACAAAAGAGCTGACTAAAAGAAAAAACTGTATTTCATAGACAGTTCTTCCCCCCCTCATCCCCCTTTAGTTTCTTTAGTGCTAAAAAAAATCTTTTTTTCCACTAAGAAAGTGTTAATTCCCATGACTAGATAACTGACAATCAATAGACTAGAACTTTACTAAATGCTACAAAAAACACTTGCCTACAGAACAAACTATAGCTCAAAGGGTAACTCTCTTCCCCCAAATAAGTCTGGATCAGATCTAATAATGAACTTAGGCCCTTAAAATGGGACCTAGGGAAAATTTAGGTGCCCAAGTCCAGAACTGTGATCCTGATGACCCTGCTTATCTATCACCCAACTTTGAATGTTCCCAAACTCTATAGGAGTCTTATATACAGTAAACTCACAATGCTCAGCTACAGTGGCTTCAAACATGCCATGAAACTTTGCAGGGGCTGCCTTCTAAAACAGAAACAGTGTAGCTGTTTTTACACAGACCATTGGATGGGCTGATTAGCACTGCTGACTTAGTGCAATAATTAGCAGGTCAAGCACCATACTCATTAGTCTGCCAGCATTCCTGTTAAACTACACTGCTTCTGGTTTAGGAGGTGTGCCTGGCAACACCACTGCTAGGTACAGTAAGCTTACTGTGTACACACGGTCTTTTTCATGTTAAAGTTCCCCAGGTACTCAGTTTCATAGTTTCATAGTAGCTAGGGTCAGGAGGGACCTGAACAGATCATCTAGCCTGACACCCT